TTAGCACCAATTCCACATTTTTTCCTAAAGTAACTAAGATTTGAGAATTTATAAAAGTGTTTAGTTACTTCGTTTTTCATTATACTTATAATGGAAGGTTGTGTCCTATCCTACCCGTTCGGCTAACAACCCTCCACTAGCCAAGAGTGCGGTGGGTAAGAGTGGATACTCATTCAATCGTCATTTTATAGGCAATTCCTTAGACACCCCTTATAGACCAGCTTCGTGAATGAGGCCTACTAACGGTAAGACTGACTCTTTACTTATACATATATAATATATTAGACTTTTAATTTTATATAGTACAAGGGTGTATTTTAAACTTTTAAAATACTAGGGATTTTTTTTAAAATTTTATTAAAATTTTCAAAAATTAAAACCATTTAATTTACAATCTTAAAATTTAAAAAAACCTTTGATTTAATAATTATTCAAAAATTAAACGATTAATTAAATTATTAAATCAAATAAGGATTACCAATTTAAATTAAAAATATTAACTTAATTTAATCATTTATCCATGGATTTCGAAATTTAGTTAGGGATCTCTTTAATTACCGAATTAAACAATTTACAAGATAATTACCAAAAATAACAACCTACTAACTTATTCCTTAGATTTCGAAATCTTCTACTTGGAGTGGAAAGCAAGGCTTTAAACCTTGCTAAATAATCAAAAAACTCTAGGGTTAGGAAACTCTAGATTTTGACTCCAAGATGACCAAAGGAAAGGGTTTGAAAACCCTTAGGGATTTTCGAAAAACAGGGTTCTTAAACCCTAAATTGCGAAAATTTAAAGGCATTAGGGTTTAATAGCTATAAAACCTGATTTTGTCTAGTTCAATCAATTGTACCAAATATAATTAAAAACAAAAACCATACACTCTGATACCACTGATAACTTTTATACAAAACAAACAATCTTATGTGTGCATGCAACCCTAATTTGAGGATCTATGTTTTCACTATTAGACATACAAAAATTGAACAGAAAAGCTAGAAACCCTAGGAGGCACATGTAATTTTTGACATTAACATATAATTAGGGTTAGGATAAATACCTTTATTGTTATATTGTAATAACAATCAAATCCTTGAAGATCTTGAACTTTGGTAGCAAGCGCCACAAGTGTCGCGCCTCTAATAGCTCACAAACAAACCTAGCAACCAAGGATTACTATGGAGAGAGAAGGGAAGTGGAAAATTCGGCCCTAGCCTCTCTTGGAGTGCCCTTTGACGAAATCCAACCCTATATGGGTTTATATAGGTGATAAGGAACGTTTAGGATAAGCCAGGTGTATATTAGATAACCCTAATCCCTTAACTTCCTCCCTAAGGCTTCCAAGGCACTCTTAGAGCCCAAGGAAACCATAGGACACTCTAGATTTCGTTCCATACCTCTAAGGGAGGTTCTAGAATGCTCAATACTCAACTTTTGAACATTATGACCTTTAGTCCCTACAATTTCAATTAATTCCTATAATCTCAAAATTAATTCCAAATTAATTTCTGATTAAATATTAATTAAACAATATGATTTCTAATTAATATATTATATCCATAATACATTAATAAATTAATTTATTAACCAAGTAATAAGTTAATAAATCATTCTTCTCTCTCCAACAATAATCCTATTCAATTGCCAGCTTTTAAGGCAACCCAAAAGGACATTTGCTACTATAAATTCAAGTACATACCAATTATAGTTATGGGCTTAGACACCTAATCCAACACGAAGGTGTGCCTGAATGCCTCAAACCAAGGCTATGATACCAACTTGTAACATCCCAAAAGCGAGACCCAAAAATTCTTGTTTAATTATATTACTTATAAAAATAGTTTACGGAAACATCATTTCAAAACATCAAATCACAGATCTGAAGTCTCAAAAACCATAACATCAAATAGTAAAATATCAGAGTATAGTCCAGGGTTCTTAAAGAGGAAATAATGTGTGTGCGATGTGCTGCTACCTTACCGGCTCCTTTCCCGTAGCCGAAGAGGTACCGGAAACCAAAACCGAAAACTGTAAGCACGAAGCTTAGTGAGTTCCCCCATTATACCACATACATACAATCATACATTCTGTTGGGCATTTCTGGGGTGCCCCACCTACCCATGTCAAACCATTCTAGGGTGTTAACCTATCCATGTCAAGCCGTTCTAGGGTGCCAACCTACCCGTGTCAGGCCATTCTGGGGTGCCTGCCTACCCTCCGGTCTATCCTACCCGGTCCTAGTGACTATTTCACCCCTACTACTATCACATAATAACATATCATAAACATACCGTCAGACATATCTGGGGTGTCCGACCTACCCTTCGGTCCTAATGACCGAATCGGGGGACTACTCCCCTCCTACTACCACTATCACATATAACATAGCATGCTAACACATAAACATATCAGTTAGTAGCAAACCAGACAATTATCACAAATACAATCATCTCAACTATAATCAACTACTGGTGGGCCGGCCTTGGTTCCTTAGACCTACTTCTACTGGAAGGTAACTCACCTCAATGTCGTGTAGTGTCTGCACTGTCCTCGGTATGAAAATCGACTATCCTCAACTCATCAATCCATATATGACAATTTTCTAAGTTATCAATTTATACTCATAACCCTTACAAGGGTCACTCAAGTCCAAGTCAAAGTGAAAGTCAAAACCTTGGTCAAAGTCAACATTTGGTTGACCAAACTCGCCAAGTTGGTTCACCAACTCGTCGAGTCCACTCGTCCATGAAAAGTTGCAAAATCGCCCCTACTCGTCGAGTCTAGCAAGAGTGCGACGAGTTCGCCTTCAACAACATATCAGACCTTCTTCAACTGACTCGTCGAGTTCCTCCTTGAACTCGTCGAGTCCATCTTCATCCGTAAGAAGGTGTTCAGTCTATGACTTGCCGAGTTCTCCTTGAACTCATCAAGTCCATCTTCATATGGTTGGGACATTTCCTTGGACTCGTCAAGTCTGTTCATCTACTCGTCGATTCCTTTGATCTTTAAATCCATGACAAACCCCTAACAGGCTGAGTGTTCCTTCCACTCAACGAAAGACCATTACCAGAAGACTTTTAGGGGAAACTGCGACCCAACTCGCCGAGTCACCCAAGTGACTCGCTGAGTCCATCTTTATTTAAAACTATACAGTTGATTATAATGGTTCTTAATGCATCAAAACCATAGATCTGACCTCCTAGGGTCCATTTCATACGTAAAGCTACGAACTTGATGTCAATGCATGGGGTTTTTGGCTCCAAAATCCATGAAAAGGGGCTTATAAGATGCATGTGCTTCCCATGGCCATAAATTTGGCACCTTTATGCCATGTGAACCCTCAATGGTTCAAGATCTAAAGTGTAACTTCATGATACACACTCAATCCGAATATGTCCTTAGAAATGCCCCAAAATGATAAGATCTAAGCCCTAGAGGAGATATATCAAATGAGAAGTCAAGGTTGAAGCTTTTTTTTACCTTGAATGAGATGGAAATAAGTCAAAACCTCTGGATCTACTAGTCTTCTCTTGATCTTCCAAGCTTCCTTCTCTTCTTCAAACTTCAAACCACCACGAAACACACAAAAATGGCTCAAGTTCACTCAAATAAGGTTAGGGTTTCAATCTAGGGCTTCTCTGAGTTGGGAGGGGTGATGGAGGATGGTTTGGGACGAGATAACCTGTTTAAATAGGGTCCAAACCGTAAACATTAGGGTTTTTTTCCAGATAGCTCCTACTCGTCTAGTCGGTCCCCCGACTCATCGAGTAGATCACTAAAACTCCCGCATAATGTTGAGTCTACTCGACAAGTTGGGCCTCCAACTCGCCGAGTCCCAAAGTAGAATACCCAAATACTTGAATTTAAATATGTACCAGGAGCCAGGTGCTACATTTTATGTTATATTTGATGTGTTACAATCTTTCAAAGATAAGATATCAAAGTTGAAATATTTCAGCTTTTCAGCAATTATGTGATATTCTTTAAACAATCATATCTCATTCGTTTTAAGTCGGATTGACATGCGGTTTTTTCCAACGTGTAATTTAGAGTTTGTAGATGATTTTAGACTATAATTTTGTTGTTTTTGGTATTATATTCGACTTGAGAAGGCTCTTTAAATGTTTTTTTTATTATTTATTTTTCAGATACTTATTGGAATGTGAATGCAAGATTGTACACACACAGCAACATCTTTATGATTTGAGATTTCGCATTATCCTTATAACTCTGATTTTGAAATATGGTTTATGAACGATTGGTTAACTTGAATATAACTTTAATAAAAGTAGCTGTTTATTCTATTTTAAAATTATATATATATATATATATATATATATATATATATATATATATATATATATATATATATATATATAGGGTGAGATTCAATAGAGAACCATAATTAACCAATGAACCAATGGACTAATCTTTTTTTTCAACTTTTAGAACTTATTTTTTATCAAAAAAAAAATTAAAAATACAGAAATTAAAACTTTTTATCCTTTTTCCAATGATATAAAATTCGATTTTTTTTTACGTCAAATTCACAATGTCAATCTTTGAAAATTCACAACGTGAATCCGAAAAATATTTTTCACATTCACATTATTAATATATGAATTTAAATATTTGTAGATTTTTTTTCCGATAAAGAATAAGTTCTAGAAATTGAAAAAAAAATTTGGTTCCTTGAAGAACTAATAATTATGGTTCTGTATTAAAGTTTTCCATATATATATATATATATATATATATATATATATATATATATATATATATATATATACACACACCATCTTATAAAAGGTTTATCTTTGTGGGCCCTCTATAATTTAAGACATTTATTTTAAAAATCAAGGAGATCAATTATGGACCTTTGGATCTAAAATGAAGGGTCATGATTATTTGATATTTGTAATCCGTGTGAAATTTTTTGAACCAATAGGAAACCACAAAAACAAATACACGGATCCCTTTAATCCATTCGTGAAATTGTATGGACCTTTCTCATTCCCTCATTCCGCCGTTTCCATATCGTGATAGCAAAAATCTCTCCTCCTCCTCTCTTAATCCATTCACCGTCTACATCTATCTTGATCCAGTCGCCATTACGCGGATCTCTCCTCCTCCTCTCTTAATTGATTCGCCTTCTAAATCTCTCTTAATACAATCGCCATTGCACGGATCCTTGGATTTTTGTTTTGGTTTCACGGGCTAGGGTTTATACAATCTCGAAGTTTTTGAAGATCATGTGGAACAAAAGATTGAAAGGTTCGTTTTATTGATTACTTGGTTTGGTTTTTGAGTATTCTTCTCCAGAATTTTGAACGAACGACATTAGCTACAAAAAAATCGCGAAAATACCCTACGGTTTGTCCTGTGCTAACCGATTTTGCTTGTTTGTTTCGATTTCATGTGTTAGGGTTGATACAATCCCAAGGTTTTCGAAGATTTTGCTGAAAAAACGATTGAAAGGTTCATTTTTTATAACTTGTTTCGGTTTTTGGGTTTTGTTCTCCATAATTAGCCACAAAAAATCGCCAAAATCCCCTACGGGTTGTCGTGTGCTAACTGATTTTGCTTGTTTGTTTCGATTTCATGTCTTAGGGTTAATACAATCCCAAGGTTATCGAAGATTTTGCTGAACAAACGATAGAAAGGTTCGTTTGTTTATAACATGTTTCGGTTTTTGAGTTTTGTTCTCCATAATTCAAAAAGATCACCAAAACCGCCTACCTTTTATCTTGTTTTAACAGATTTTGGTGTTGCTTGCGATTCCATGTCATAGGGCTCATAATTTTGAGGTTTTTCGATCATGCAGTACATACTAGAGAAAGGTTCGTTTTTTTTAAAGCATAGAAAGGTTCCCTTTTTTTATAACTTGTTTTGGTTTTTGAGTTTTGTTCTCCAGAATTCTTTTGTCTTGTTTTAACCGATTTTGGTGTTGTTTGCGATTCCATGTGCTAGGGCTCACAATCTTGAGGTTTTCGATCTAGCAGTACAAACAGGAGAAAGGTTTGTTTTTGTTTCTAACTTGGTTTGATTTTTCAGTTTTCTTCTCCATAATAATGAACAAACTCCATTAGCCACAAAAATCGTTTTTTTTTTTCAGGTCAAAAAAACTGGAATGGTGCATCCCATGGATGTTGAATGAAACTCCGATTTTACTTTGTGTTTTAGAATGTTACCAGATTATATTTCTGTTGCGTTTTTATTTGTTGAACGAACCATTTCAGCATTTTCGTTTTCTATCTATTTACACATAAAATTTCTGATTTTGTGATTTTTTATTCTATTGTATATATGAAATGCAAGCAGATCAAGAAGGAATGCTATCAGATTTGCACCAACTAACTTTTATGTTATTTAGGTATAATTATTGGTGATTATTTAACTTCAATTAAACTTTCATGTTATATATATTCATAGTTAACTCATAGTTTATAGTTTTTTTTTCAGATCTGATGAAAGGGTGTGATTAATTGTTTAATAAATACTTATTGAAGGTAGTTGATATTTTTCTAAACTCTTCATATATTTGCTGAGGTTTTTTTCTATATGATATCATTATAGAATTTAAAGTTTTAATTAAATGAAATGTTTATGAAACTTTTTTAGCCTTAGAAATTGTATTATACTTTTATTTAAATATATATGATTATATTTTGTTTTAAAATTTTATTTACCAAATAGGTGCAGTTTTAAAAGTATTTACCAAATAAGTGTAGTTTCAAAGTTTATATTTTTTCTAAAACTTTCAGGCTTTTATTCTATTTTCATATATTTTAATATTTTCCTTTTGACCGTTTTAAAACTTTTTGATATTAATTTTTTATGTGAAAATAGATTAACATACTAGAACGGTATGGTAATTTGGCAAATTTTAAAGTTAAATGTAGTGACACAATCTTTGTTTTACGTTACCAAATTATTTTAAGAAATGGGGTTTATAAAAAATGATAAAAATAGCAATTTTTTCATAAAAAGAGAGGTCAAAAAATATTTAAAAGAAAATAAGTAAAAATAAAAAGAAAGTTTAAAAATATAAAATTTTTAAAACTACACTTGTTTGGTAAATATTTTTGAATCTACACCTATTTGGTAAATAAAAATTTACAACACACTTATTTAATCAAAAACTCGATCATATTTATTCCTTTGTAAAACACAAAGTAAGAAATATCATCATACTTTATATAGCACCTTTATTTCATATAAAGAACAAAAATGAAACCTTTTTATGAAAGGTATAATGTATGTATATGTATGTATGTGGTCATGTGTGTATGTAAAAGTATAATGCAATTATAAAGATTTTATTACAAGCATTAATATTTCTTTTTTAAAGAGTTAGAAATAGCATCATACTTACATTGAATCTCTTTATAGCATCCTATTTTTCATGCTTATTTAAATACAAAGCATGAAATAGGATCATACTTTCTTTTATTCATGTTTTATAATGCACTATTTTTTATTTAACTAAAATGAAATTATGAAGCTTTAAGGCAACAATTAAAGTTAGATTATATTTATATGACGCACTATTTGATCCTATATTGTGTTTTGTAAATACAAACTTTCATTGATTCCTTTTTTTTAGTGTTGTTTTCTAATATATTTTAAATACAAAGAATGAAATAACATCATAACTTCTTTGATCCAATTTTTATAATGCACTTTTTTTTTCTCATTTAAATGAAAGTAAGATACTCTTAAGTCAACAATTAAATTACAATGTAAATATGTATACAATGCATGATTGTTTTATGATGACTTATATTTTACCTTTTTTTTTGCTAGGCACAAGTTTTTTGATGTGTTTGGACAACCTTCAAAATTAGTAGCGATAGAAATATGATATTTTTTCTATTATGTAATCCGTTCATAAGTGTGTAATTGTATGTATGTATGTTAAAGTAAGGTTAAATGATAAAGAAATCGTGAAAGTACCTTGTTATTTCCCAAATTTTAAATTACAAAGTAGGAAATAACATCGTACTTTCAAAGATTTCTATATTATGGGATCCTACTTTTTTATGCTTTTCTTTCTTACGCAAATAAGTTGCTATTCATGATTATGTCGGCATTGAAGGACAATGATATTTCTTGCGCTTCCTTGTAAGGAATAAGAAATATCATCTTATTTTAATTGATTCGATTATAACATAACCAAAAATTGAAATTATGATGCTATTTCTTGCATTGTAAACATTGATCATACAAGTTTTGTATAATAATATCATATTTTCTCACTTTTAATTGTCATAACATTCTAAATTTATCTATATTCTATATGTTTTTGAATGTGTTAATGTTAAAGTTGGATGCTTTATTATTATTAAAGAATAGAATAAAAAAAATTAATGCATATCATAAATGTCAAGGTACATTTTTTTAAATTATGTGTTTATGTGAAAGTGGGAATTTATAATAACGAATAAAATAAAACAAATAAAGGAATTTCATTTCTTTTAAACACAAATTGATTGCATGTGAAAAAAATATTTTTCTGATTGTAAAATATTTTGTTAGGTACATATGTTGTCAGTAATAGTATTGTTGGTTGCATAGTATTGTTGACTGTGAAAAATGATAGTATTGTTGACTGTGAAAAGTAGGAAAAACCAATGTCAAAAACAGTAAATTAATAGGTAAATAGATGGTCATAAATAGTATTTTTCAGACTGTCTAAAATACTGTTTATTTGTCAGAAAACAGCAATTTATATACTGTAAAAAACTGTTTAATAGACAAAAAAAATTGTTCAAAATCAGTACTAACAAAAGATTCCAAAAGGAAAACCAATATAAATATATTTATTGGTTGATAAACAAATTGTAGAAGCTTGAGTTTTAGAAAAAAGGTATGCTTCCTTTTCTTTTTGTTGTATTTTGATATACAAAAATTAAAGCGTAATTACTATTTTTAAATGAGTGATGTGTTTTGATTTTTTTTTTCATTTACCTAGCAACAAATTTTTAGTGTATGCTTTAGAGTAACATTTACAATTTTGTTTAAATTTGATTAATTTTTATTTTTAATATAAAGTGATGTGTATTGTTTTTTTTTTTTTTTTTTTTTTTTTTTTTTTTTTTTTTTTTTTCATTTACCTAGCAACAAGTTTTTAGTATATACTTTAGAGTAAGACGCTCAATTTTGTTTAGATTTGATTTGGTTTTTAACAACTTATTTTTGTTTTAATCATGTCTATAATACATGGCGGTGCTTACTTTTAACTTGTGACCAAAATAGAGGTAAATTGGAAGTCTTTCAATTTACATTATTCATCTTGTTTAAATATCATTATCCTTTTTTGCTATATGTTTTACTCTATTATATTTTAATATAGTATTAGTTATTCCTACGTGTAAAACTTGATAATACTATGTAGTTTCTTTTATTTACATGTTTTATTTTGTTTACATATCATTATCTTTTTTTGCTACATGGTATACTCTATATAATTTCTTTTATATTTATTTATTATAACAAATGTAAATCATTTAAAATATAAGTATAAGATATGGATATAAAAGTGGATGCAAATTTATACAAGACCAAATGTAAGAAATAGAGATATTAATAGTATAATATTTATAGAAATATATTATATGAATAGTTATTATTTTTATTGGTTTTAGTTTAATATGTTGTTATTAAAATATAATGAAGAATAAAATTTTGTAGCATTTATGATATCAAATTAGGTTTGTTAAAAGTTTTAACATTGTAAATGAAAGTCTAAAATATTATATATCTATATTTTCTATTGTTTATTTTAATAATTATAAATACAATATTTATTGTTATGAACATTTTAAATATTTTTAATATTTAAATTAATATTGTAAATGAAAGTCTGAAATATTTTATATTTGTATTTTCTATTGTTTATTTTAATAATTATAGATACAATATTTATTGTTATGAACATTATGAATCTTTTTAATATTTAAATTAATAATATTGTTATCAATTATTTAACTTTTACATTTTATTTTAAATTTTGTAGAAAATGGATATGTATTTCAATGTTAACTCTTTTCGGTCACTCAATAGTCCATATGCATGGTATAATTTCGCTTGCGTTCGGATTGATTTTGTTTGGGTGGATACAAGGGAAAGCAAACTAATTATGCTTGTAGTTGACCAAAATGTAAGTTCCAAATATATAATACTTAATTTCACCATATAAAGAGTTTTTCTATTACTATTTTTTAACAAATTTTTTATTAACTTGAGAGAAAAATTGGTGGTAGTTGTACCTAGCTTTTTAATAGGAAGATACCTAGAAAGAGGTATGCAAGGCCGCTTATATTCTATAAATCATTTTAAAATCAATTCCACTCCCGATGACTTCCCCAAGTATGAAGGATACAACTTTGTTGATGATCAATATGTCATAATTGTTAACTAAGCTACACGATTTACTCTACTTGAACCGGTTATTGAAAATCATTTTCCGACTTATCCATTGGTTGAGTCTATTGAATATCTGATGAGAAATCCACGTCAACGAAATCTGATCGGTAATTCTTAAATAGTTATTACAATATAATATTTAACTTATTTTTTTTTTTTTTTAAAAATAACTAAAATTTGTTTTACTTAAATGGTGGTTTAGATGTTGTTGGCAAAGTTATTGATGGACGTCTTTTACACCATGATTGTGCAATTGATTTACTTCTTCAAGATCAATCATAAGTTTTTATATTATTATTATTATCATTATTATTATTATTATTAAGATTTTAATTATAAGTACTATTAAAATTAATATTTCAAATTATTATAGTGGCTATGTAATTCAGTTGATTTTGAATGATGGTCCTGAAGCCTTACCTTTTAAACTCGCACGATCAATTCAAGAGAAATGGATCACATATGTATCTCGTGTTAAATATCGAAGCCGAGGGGGGAGTAAGTATAAACCTTGTAGTTAAAACCATTTAACAAATTAATTATTTTTATTATCCATATGAAGTATTAATGTATAAAAATTAATTCCAGTGAACTTTTTGGATTCTACATCCATTTCGAGGGTTGCATTTGAGCCGGTTATGGCAGAAGCAAATGCTATTACGGCGATTTATGGATGATATAATTATGTATTTCAATTTTAAAAATAAACAACTTAAGAACGTTTGTTGGTGGTTTGTTTATGTAAGAATATTGGCTATTGGTATTTTGTTGTTGTAACCTTAATATATCTATTATGTTGCAATTTATTATCTTTGATCTATATTATTCAAGTATTGAATAAATTTATGTATTGAGTTAGTAGATATAATATTCTTTTTATTTATGTTTTATAAACTTATAGTGTGAAATGGGGATCCAAGATAGTGAAAATGAAAATGGAGATTTGATGCAAATTTGTTTAGATATCGAAAAAGGTATGCATAATATATTAATGATAATCATATATTGGTTTTTCTTAATTTGAACTAAAAAACTTATAAGAAAAAGGATTGT